CGCTTCGATCGAGACACCGCGTCGATGAACCTGGCCCTCTGGATACCGATGCACTGGGCACTGCCCGACGCAGCGCCCGCGCCGCGGTTGCGCGCATGCTCCGCCCGTGACGAGGCTGGCAGGCGCCGTTTGCCATCCGCGTGCTGCTGTACCTCGCGCGCGCACATGTACTTCGTTTTCTTAAGGTCCACTGGCAGCTGGAGGCCCTCACAGCACGCGACTAGCTTCTCCGCGGCGCCAGAGAGAACCTCTGCAACCTGCACTAGGCGCCTACAAGCTTGGAGCTCCACATCATCCACGACAGTGCGCATGAAGAGGTTCGGCCGTCCTTGCTGCGCCAGCAGCAAGGGGTGCAGTAGCATATGTTTAGCCGGAGTCGTGGCCTCCGGACACCCCGCCACCACGGCTGCATTCGCCTTGATTGGGCCCTACGCAGCCCCACCGTAGACCAACGCCTTCTAACCAGTATAGATAGCACAGTAGCCCCTGAGGACCTTAATAGGGAGCCCATACTGGAGCCAAGCCAATCTGAGATCCACATGCCGAACATTCGCATAGAAACGACCCAACTCAACCAGAACTGGGCCACACTCGAAGCCGACCTCCTTGCAGAACCCACCCAGGAGATTGCGTGCCAACCCTGCCCGTTCACAAGCTTTGTGAGCCCCCCTTCCCCAAAAGAGCACATCGGCATGCTCCTCCTCCCGCGCCCCGCAGCAAGGCCTGCGAAGCCTCGACCAGAGGCGCGGCGCAAGGCGCAGGGGCGCACGCGGCCGTCAGACTTGTCTAGGAAGACCATGTTGGTCAAGAACAGACGCAGGTCCCGTGGCCTATTCTGAAACCTGTGAAGAATGTCCAGGACGCGCAACTGCTGCGATTGCTCGAGTCGCAAAATCCACCGCGCGTGGAATCCACCCCAACCAAGGCCAGCCCCAGGAGAGCATTTTCGACCAACCTTCAGCAGCCGACACAGAGAAATCTCATCCAAAGGGCCTTCGTCGTCAGGAACAAGCCACTGCGCCGGGCGCTCATCCTGCCTGCCAGCAACCGGCCAGAGAGGAACCCATTCGTCTAGAAGAGCCGCCAGAGGTCCAGCTCCGACCGAGGGGGGCCCGTCGGTGTCTGGGGGCGGGGGGAAGGGGTCGCATTGGATGCCTTCTTCTAAGCAAATCCGCGAGCTGCCCCCCCCCCCTCCTTCCGCGCTCTCCGCCGCCCAGGTCCTCCACTCCAGAAGTGCCGCATTTGAATATGCCCGCCTCCTGGCGTTCACTTCCTCCTCCATCTTGCGCAAGGCATCGCGGGCGCGCTCGTCGCCCGCGGCGACGATCTCAGCGACGCCACTCAGGAACTCGGGCGAGAAACCGCCCCCTCGGAGAGAGACCCCGCGTCGGCGACCGTGGACTTCAGGTCGCGAAACCATTGGGATAACACGCAGCAGCCTCGACGGCCAATCCCCCCCCCCCCCAGCGCGCGTCTGGCACGCGCGCCTGCGCAGAGCGAGAAACGAGATCCATGCCGTCGATGATCGCGAAAATCTGCGTCGCTGATCTTTTCCCAAACACCCCGAGGAAACCTGCTTCGACTTGGGCCCTGAGGCCCTGCCGACATAAACCCTGGACTCCTGGGCGTCGACGCCCATGGATCTGGGCCAAACGCTTCTCGGACAACGCGAACCACCCCTTACTATCGCACGCGAGTCCGTCGAGCCCCCCAACTCCCCAGGACCAGTTGCACTCGACAGGGGCCTGCAGGGGGCCTATGAGCTCCAGAGGGGAGGCCTTGAGACGGATCCGCTCGTTGACGGTCGACACGCGGCTAAGTTCCCGCGGCTCGAGTAGCGCTGATGCACGCGGGAACAGCGGCACCTTGTCCGAGACCCAGATCGCCTCAACTCGCGAGGCCAACACCTCCGCAACCACAAAGAAATCGAGGACCCTGGCTGACGCTGGCGACCGCTGCCCCTCCGGCGACTCCCCCGAAGGGACCCAGTCATCCAAGGGGCCTCTCAAGCCTTGCTGGGGGTCAAGCTGGGCATGCTGGGGACCATGCGTCCTGCGCGTCGGTGCATCAGGCGCAACCAGCGCACCTCGGACCTCTTGCAACCAACCCGACTCCACGAGCACGTCGGGCTCGAAGTTGATGCCTCCTTGGACGATCCACGGCCGATCCTGGGCCATCACGCACTCGCCAATAGCCTACAGGAGGGCCAGGTTGGGCCCCGAGAGCCCCTTGCCAGTCACGAAGTGCACACATATCACAGCCAGCCCCCTAGGGAACCAACGTTGACGATGCGAGCAATGCCGCGACTCTTGCAGACCTCGAACGCCGCGGCCGTCAATGGCGTCGAGCCAAGCTGAAAACGCACCGCCACGGCAACGCCTGAACTGCTCTGCTGCAAGCCATGCCCTGCGCCGTGTGCTTCTCAGAAAAACAACAGGTAACCACGCCGCTGCCCCCGGCTCATCGTAGAGGCCTGCTTGGTGCCACTCTTGATCCTGGTCTCCTGGACGCGGCGCACCCGCGGATGAGAGCGAGCCCCGCCCGCTTTGCCGTCGCCAGCCAACCATTCCATCATGGACTCGAACGCGCCCCAAGAGGTCACACTCATGCCCGCAATGGCTAGAGAGCTGACAGCAACTGACTGCGGCTGCCTGCGAGCCTCTTCCGCGGCAAACGAAAACGAAACAGACCCCTGTGCCGCGCCAGGAACACACTCGTCTGCAAGAAGGTTACGAGCAGGAGGTCGGGGATCTTCTGGCCCGGGTCAATCCAGACCCGGGTCAGCATGAAACCAACAACTGCAATGCAGGAGAAAAAAAAAGTGCAACGCAGGTCCTCGTAAACCCGGGTCAGCCAATAGGCGCGGCCGCCTCGCGGCCACGAACGGCTCCCTAACCCGGGTCGGCCAGAGGGGGTCTTTGCAGGGTCCTGCAGGATCCGGCGCCGTGGCTGACCCCCGTTTGCATTGACCCCAGTCTCAATGCTCCCGAGGAGGTCCGCTCCCCCAACTGCCGGATCTTGACCGCGGGACGATCGAGCCCGCGCGGGGCAAATTGCATGGGGAGGGCGAACCGCTTCAGCTGCCCCAGCAACTCCGCGGCTGCCTGCAGGAGGCGACGATGTGCTTGGTAGCCGCCATGGCACGCCGGGACTTTGCGCTCCAGAGCCCGTGGCGACGCTGCCCACTAGCCCAGATGGCACACTAGGACCTTGCACTCCGACGCCTGCGCAGAACACCAGCTCCATCAGGCAACAGCAGTGCACGCGGCGGCCTCTGCGACCCCCTCAGAGCCGCGAGTGCACCTCTCGACGCCGAAGACCCAGCCGACGACCGCATCAGTCTCGGCGACGCCCCCTGCCCTGGGGAGGAACGCCCCTGGCCACCTGGGGGAATACTGAGGGACCCTCTCGACGTAGACGACGACCCCGAAGCCGCAATGCACGCGAGCCGAGGGGCGCGACATCCAAGGGCTGAATCCCTGCACCCTCGGCCCTGAGGCCCACAATTGGCGGCCGCGGCCTCGCCCAGCGTTGGCCAGTCGGACCCGGGGTAGACGCCCGCCGCGCTGCCATCAAGATTGCGAAAGAGCATCGAGTCGAAGGGCAGATCGTCTCGTCGAGTAGGGGCGGCGAAGCCCGCGGCCTCCTCCCAATCAGGGACTTCCGCTTGGCCTCGAGCCGATCCTCAGGCGATGCGGTTCGGAGGGCTTCGGCAGCAGCTGCAGACTCCTTCTGGTTCTGCTCATAACCGCCACTTCCCAGGAGCGCCATGTCAATATCATCGCCATCGCCTGACTCTGCTGGGATGTGTTCACCGCCCCCGCAAAAGGCGCCTGGAGCACCAGAGCCACAGCGACGGGAGGAGCAGCAGGAGAGGCGGCCGCGCTGCGCCGCTCTGCAGCCTCCCGCTGGAGCCGCGCGAGCACTCTAAATGGCGTCCTTGGCCTCCTGGCTCTCCAGCACTGCGTCATCCAAGCCTGCGCTGACTGCTTGGACTGGGTCGTCAAACTCATAGGCCTGCAGCTTGACCAGCTTGGCCTCACCAGCCTTGTTGAGTTTCGCCTGCTCGTCCTGGAGGGCGACGGTGTTTTCGTCGAGCTCCGTGTCCAGGGCCGCATGCTGCTCCTTGACCGCCTCGATATTCGCTTCCAATTTGCCGACCTTTTTGCGCAGCCCCTCCACACGCCAGCGCTGCGCCTGGGCCGGGGGCGGTTTGCCCTCGCTGGCCTTGGCAAGCTGGGCTGCCTCTGCAGCCTGTACGCTGGACGGGTCCAGCCACCGCTTCTCCACGAACGCCACAACATCCTTGTAGGTGACCCCGCCTGCCCCACCATTGCCAGCCGACGCCGCTGGATGGCGGGTGCCACCCCTCTGGCCGCCGCCGCCGCATGCATGCTGCGGGGGCTGCTGAGGCTGCGAGCCAACCCAGGGTGGAGTCGCTGGTGCAAATGCCTTTGAGCTCTGCGATCTGAACCCGCAGATCGTGGAGGAGGCGCATCTGGGCTGAGTGCTGCATCGGCGGGGGTCCATTCGCCCAGGCTTCCCGCGGAGGGGCCAGCGCTGCGCCGCGCACCCGAGCCGAGAGCGAGGGAGACTGGGACTTGGCTGCTGCCTGCCGCGCCGCGTTGACCCCCTTCTGAGGCGCAGGCTTGTCGCCCTGCCTGCACTTGACCCTGGAAGCCCAATTGTCCCAGCAGCCGCAGCCGCACCCCCAAAAGGGGGTCTTCGCGCCTGGCAAGACATCGGGCGGAGGAACCATCGGCCGCCCGCGGGGAGGGCTACAGATGCGAGCGTGAAAACAACTGTCGAATGGCTCGCAAGCACGAGCCGCTTTGAAGCACGCGCTTGCAAGCACAGGGGCCCCAAAGCGCCTGTGCCAGAGCGGCTGAGGAGGAGGAAAAGGAAAAGGAGGAGGAACAGGAGGAGGAAAAGAAGGAAGAGGAGGACTTCGGACTTCGTCGACCGTCGCTGCCCGCAGCTCTGGGCAGCCCCTGGGCCGCCTGCTCGGCCAGCGGGACGCCGGACGTGGCCGCGAACTCCAGGAAGCGCCCCGTGAGCTCGCGCGAGCACGCGGCACCCCGCGGCAGCGCTGCGGCGGGGCTGCCGCTCAGCACCACCCTCTTGGGGTGGCGGGAGGGCGCTGAGTGCACGCCCGAGCAGGCTACTTCCTCCCTCCCTCCCTCCCTCCATTCATTCCCCCCCCCTCCCACCCACCCTTTCACCCTCAGGCTCCTGCCTCCCTTTCCCCCCACCCTTTCTCTCCCCTTCCTGCCTCAGGTTCCTTCCTCGCACCCTTCCTCCCTCCCTCCCTCCTTGCCCTCCTCCCTCAGGCTCCTTCCTCCTTCCCTCGCCCCCTCCCTCCCTCCCCGAAAGGTTCGCGCTCGGACTGCGACGTCGGAGGAGATCACGTCGCACTTTGTTTTTGGTGCGTGCCCCTGCAATCTCGACCGTCTGAGGCTGCATCCTCGGGGGGCCTCGTCTGTCCCGAGGAGGCCCTATCCGCGACGACTCCGTGTCGAATCCATGTCGCCCTCGTCGGATCCGTGTCGAATCCGCGCCGAATCCGCGCCGAATCCTCGAGCCCGCGTTGGGCACAAGAAAGGACACCGATTTTTGGGACAGGCGAGGTCCCCCGAAGATGCAACGCGATCGACCCCTTTCAGCGGCGAGCCTGGGGGGAAGTGAGCAGGAGAAGGCCTTATCAGAAGGCTCTGAAGTCACCTGGCCTTCTGAGAAGTTTCCTAAGCCTTCCCAGAAGTCACACACACAAATTCTCAGAAGGCGCGAGGGCTTCTGAGAAGTCCCACCGCCTTCTGAGAAGGCCTTCTCCTTCTCCTTGCCGAGGGCGTTCCAGGGGTGCCTAGATCGTCCCGAACGGCCCCCAGGGACCCGAGTTATGACCTACAAGCCAAATTCGGCGGCGCGCCCAGGGAGGAATTGAGAAGGAGAATGCCTTCTCAGAAGGCGGCGGGACTTCTCAGAAGTCCTCGCGCCTTCTGAGAGGCTTTCTGTGTCTTAGGGGAAGGCATACAAAAACTTCTCAGAAGGCTGGGGAACTTCCGAGCCTTCTGAGAAGGCCTTCTCCTTCTCACTTCCCAAACGGGCTGGCCGCCGACTGGAGGCCTTCCAGGTAGGGTCGGAGCAGTTGGGGTCGGAGGATCGAGCCGCATCGCGGATGCATCGGCGACATCAGCGATGAATCGGCGTCGCCAGCGTGGAGAAAATCGGGCTCCACATCGAGCCGCTTTGCCGACGCATCGACGATAAGGCGCGACCTTCCGACCCTATTTATCTGCTCGGACACCATCTAGGAGGCCTAGACAACCCCAGACCTCCAACGACTGGGCGACAGCGAAGCAAGGCGGACGTTTGCGTCCTCAGACATTCGAGTGGGGATCGACTACAGAACTGATCTACCCCGGAATTGTGCTTTCTTTAGAATCTAACACAACATGAGCAGCATGGTTGCCGAAATTGCACAAATTCTACGCATCTGGTGTAGGTTCGACGACCAAATCACTGTTGGGGTAGATCAATTCTGTCGTCGATCCTCTACTCGGCACTCGACTCAAGAGGCCCGAATCATGACTAGCCCGAGGCATATGCGCGCGGACGAGGAGGAACGGGGGGACGCACTGAGATCAGAAGAGGCACCATGAAATCTGGGGAGATACCACGGCTTCGACCATGATTATCCCCCCCTAGTAATCACCCCCTTCTTGGCCGCCCCCGAGCATGCGATGTCTTGATCTTGTCACTGCAAGATTAAAGGCCTCCTGGATGGGTTACGAATAGACGGGGTCGGAAGATCGTCCCGCATCGCCGATGCATCGCCGATGCACCGGTGATGCATCGGCGACGTCGGCATTGCATCGGCGACGCCAGCGCGGAGAATATCTGGCTCCACATCGAGCCGCATCGGCCATCGGCGATGAATCGGCGATGCGGGGTGATCCTCGGACCTCATCTACTCTGACTCCATCCGTGAGGCCGAGGTAATCATCCCCCCCTCCTTCGCCACCCGTAAGCATACGATGTCTTGATCGTTCCGCTATAGGATCCCCCGAAGTCCCAACGCTCACCATCGCTCGGACGCCCATTCCCCGTGCATGGTTCGCTTCCTTGCGCTTGTGTTTTATATGATGATCCGAGATGTTCCTCGATGGCCCTCGCCGAGAAAAAATGCACACGTCCGAGCGATGCCGAGCATGGCGCCCCTGGAAAATTGAGACGCCATGGGGACCGAGGGCTCTCCCAGGCCTGGGCCGCGGCGGCGCCCCGGGCCCAGGGCGGGCCGGGCCTGTGGTCTGGGCGCGGGTTTCGCCGGCCCGCTCTCTAGCGTTAGGTCGGGCCTGTCCCCCTACAGGCAGATTTTGGACGAAAAATCAAAAAGACAGAAAAATGATCAAACATAGTCCCAAAATGACCCGAAAATATTCTTCCTGTAGAGGGACAGGCACGACATAACTCTAGCGGAACAGAGACTCACCATCGATCGGACGTCAATTCCTCCTGCATTTGTCTGTTTCGTGCGCGTTTTTTTCTCGGAGCGCCAGATGATACAGTAGCTCCTCGATGGCCCTCGCCGACCGAGAAAAAAAACGTACACGTCCGAACGACGCCAGGATGAGAAATTGCGTGAGCACACGGTCTCGGAACTCCATCGGAGTCTCTTGGGTCGGCGCTGGGCCAACCTGTGGCAGCCGCACATGTGTACAATGGGGCACGCGAGCCTATAGTACCGTGGTCAGGTTTCGGAAGCATCGTTTAACCGATGCCGATCCCTGGCCTGGGCCCCACTGGCCGATTCACCCCCCTAGAGCCCAGATGGAAATGTAGGATGTTCCCTTCAGGTTTCGAAGGGCCTACCCCCATCTGGGGTGGTGGGATGGCGGGGCCGAAGTACCCTGGACCATTGGAAATGGGGATGGGTCAAACGATTCCGATTTCTGTCCACGACCCTCCGTGGCGCGCGCACCGCGCCAAGGGCGGCGCCGGAAACGCCGGGGGTTCTGATCAACGGTGGTCAGACCGCTTCCACATATGCGATGTCTAGATGTTTGTCCATACGGGGGCCCATGACGTCCCGACCCTTTTCCCCAGGGCCGGGCTTTTTCATCCCGAACCGTCTGTTGACGGTCGTGGGGCCCGGCGAAGGCCCCCTGGGCGGCCACACTGCCAAAAACATCGCGTCGTGATATTTCCGCGGCGCGAGCATGACTGCGGCGGGATCGGCAATGTTCAAGGCACCATGACCAAGAGCAGCAGCAGCAGCACGAGGCAGGAGGCAAGAAAAAGAGGAGGCGGAGGAGGTGGAAGAGGGGGAGGAGGAGGCGCAGGAAGGAGTCGGCACAGGGAGGAGGAGGAGGAGGAGGAGGAGGAGGAGGAGGAGGAGAAGGAGACGAATGGAATGGAATGGAATGGACTGGACTTGAACGGAATGAAATGGAATGGACTGGAATGGAATGGAGTGGGATTCAATGCGAAGGAATGTAATGGATCTGTTTTGCAATTCAAAATTATATAGAACACTGCCGCACCCTGAACACAACGGACACAACGAAGATGAAGCCGAGCGCCACGACGATGAGAAACTTCGCTGCACGACAAAACGGCTGTTCACCTTATTTGGCAACCGACAACTCCAAGGAAAGTGAGAAGTGCCACACTTGCGAAGCCCACGACAACGCTCATGTTCCTCCAGTCGAGAAAGCCCTGTAGCATCTCCTGAGAACTCGACTGCGATCCACGGAAGAGTACGATAGTGCAGAAACTGTCCCCTGCACGAGGATTGCGCCATCAGCAACCAGAACCGCTCGTTGCTTTGCCCAGGCGCCGCCATGGGCCGACGCCGCTGCAAGACGAACATCATTCTTCTCCGACCCCTCCGCCTCGGCCGTCGCACTGGTTGCACTGCCGCTTGCGCCGCCCTGTGCGCCCCGCTGATCCGAGACCGTCAGCCTCACTGTGGCCGCGGCGGCTTGCGAAGCTCCCGGTGCACCCACAGCTGTCGCCGTAGCCACGAGCGAGCTGGTCACTCCCAGGGCCGCGCTCCTGTGGTTCCCAACATCTCCCCTGGCAGCCGCCGCAACCACAAACGACTTGCCAGCAGCAAAACCTGAAACTCCATGAGCACGGGGAGGCTGATGGGCTGCACCAGCTGCGGGAACTTCGGCCCGATCCCCATGAGGGGCGCCACTGCTGCCCGCGCTGTCAGCCTCTCAATCCCCTCCGGCAGCGCAAAGGGCGTGGGCCAATGCAGCCCCCAGCAGGGTCGGGCGGCAGCCCCCGTGGCCCATGACGTGGAAACCCCCGGGCATGAGCGTCTGCGCGGCAACAAACTGCCCCCGAAGTGCCCGCGCCCCGCTCCACAGCCGACCGCCAGGGGCGGCTGGAGGTGCGCCAGGGCGGTTCCATGCCGTGCGCGGGATACCAACATGGTGGAGAGGAGGAAGGGGAGGAAACGGAGGAGGAGGAGGAGGAGGAGGAGGAGGAGGAGGAGGAGGAGGAGGAGGAGGAGGAGGAGAGGGGAGGAATGAGGAGCGAGAGGAGGAAACAGGAGGAGAGCGGGAAAAGGAGGAGGAGGAGGAGGAGGAGAGGAGGAGGAGGAGGAGGAGGAGGAGGTGGAGGAGGAGGAGGAGGAGGAGGAGGAGGAGGAGGAGAGGGGAGGGGGAAAGGGAAGGGGAGGAGCAGGAGGAGGAGGAGGAGGAGGAGGAGGAAAAGGAAAAAGGACAAAAAGGACGAGGAGGAAGAGGACAAGGCGAGGAGGAGGAGGAGGAGAAGGAGGAGGAAGAGGAGTGATGAGCGAGAGATGAGGAGGAGGAGGAGGAGGAGGAGGAGGAGGAGGAGGAGGAGGAGGAGGAGGAGGAGGGAGGTGGAGCAGGAGGTGGAGGAGGAGAGAGGAGGAGGAGAAAAGATAGAGGAGGAGGATGAGGAAGAGGACAAGGATTTCCTCGGGGGCCCACGAGGCAGAACAGAGCATTACCAGCGAGCACCGCACGGCAGTCTGACGGGTGTGGCAGCGCAGGAGATGACCGTCTCTCCCCTAGCCACTTAGACTTACCCCGCGGGGCTGCCGCGGGTCGCAGGCCGAGGCAGCACTCCATGCTCCTCCAAAG